CTCCCTGATCTATTTACAGAGAGTGATCATATCCCCTCTCAGCTGGCGTTTTGCTAGGCTAAACAAGCCAAACTCTTCTAGGCTATGTCTAAACTAAGGCTAGAGGTGTAATTCCCAGCTCACGTACTTGCAGTAGCTTGATGAGCGCTAGCGCGAGTACAAATAGCAGTGTACTGTGGGTCCATGGGCAGCGGCAGTGGGGCACAGCTATAAACCCACCTGTACCCTGTGGAAACATACTCATCAGGGCTCAGCTGTGCCTCCACTTCCACTGCCCATGCTATGGTGGTGACACTGCAATTTATACTCGTACCAGCTCTCATTGAGCTACTGCGAGTGTGTGTATGCAAGCTGGGAATCACACCCCTAGCTCATAGGGCAGACAGAGCCTCATTCTCCTCTCCTAAAATAGCTCTCCATTGTCGCAATAGCAGGACCATCATTCCTAAGATTGTTGGATTTGTGTTGTGATTGTTCCATATTTACACTGCTTTTTATCAAGCCACATCTTGGATGGATAGTCAGATGGTGGAAACGGAGCCATCCTTTGACTGTAAGGGAGCTATACCAATTTACACTGGTGTGATAATGCACCTGACTAGTGGTGCAATTGACTGAGGTGAGGAGGAAGGAGCGCTCTATCCTGACATTGCCCTTGTCCTTCCCTCCACAGGCAGCACATGATGTCCTGAGAAGGAAAATGTCCAACCAAACCACCGAGACTGAGTTCCTTCTCCTGAGCTTCTCTCAGGCGCGAGAGCTGCAGATGTTACACTTTGTGGTGTTTCTAGGGATTTTCCTGGCAGCCCTGATGGGGAACCTCCTCATTATTACAGCTGTAGCCCTGGACCACCATCTTCACACCCCCATGTACTTCTTCCTGATGAATTTGTCCATAATAGACCTCGGATCCATATCCGTCACTGTCCCCAAGTCCATGGCCAATTCCCTACTGAACACCAGGTCGATTTCTTATTCTGGTTGCGTTGCCCAAGTCTTTCTCTTCATTTTCTTCACTGCGGTTGACTTTGCTTTTCTCACCATCATGGCGTATGACCGCTACATCGCCATCTGCAAACCACTGCACTATGAGTCTCTGATGAACAGGAGAGCTTGTATTGAAATGGCAGCCAGTGCTTGGATCAGTGGTATTTTCTGCTCTGCATTGCACACTGGGAACACATTTGTGTTAACCTTCTGTGGAGGCAACATGGTGGATCAGTTCTTCTGTGAAATCCCCCAGCTACTCAAGCTCACTTGCTCTGACTCATATCTCAATGAAGTTGGGATTATTGCCTTTTTTGCATGTTTAACTATAAGTTGCTTTCTTTTCATAATTGTATCATATGTTCAGATCTTCACCACGGTGCTGAGAATCCCCTCTGAGCGTGGCCGGCATAAAGCCTTCTCCACCTGCCTCCCTCACCTCATTGTGGTCTCCTTGTTTGTTTGCATTGGCACCTTTGCCTATGTTAAGCCACCCTCCAGCTGTCTATCAGGTCTGGATCTTGTGGTGGGTGTGCTCTATTCCGTGGTGCCACCAATCATGAATCCAATCATCTACAGCATGAGGAACAAGGAAATTAAAGGTGCTCTGAGGAAACTTATTCTTGGTTAATAATGTTCACCGAATCAAATTTCCAGATTTCTCCCATGACCATGACTTCATTCTGTGTGTCTTTACAGATAGAATCAACTGAAGACATTATTGTCTCCACAATCTCTTTATGTAAAATGCTGTATTCAGAGTGGTAATGATCCAAACTAAGTTCACTAAAGTTAATGGAGTTACTTTAGACTTACACCAGTGTAA